TTTCTGATTGAAGGAACCTGTTTTTTATAGTGTAAAACTCCTGCAAATATAGATTGGGCATAAAAATGTTTGGGTACACAAATAATGGATTTCTTACCTCAGTTTCCATTAAAAATTACATTGATGTTTTGAAAAATAAAAGTACAATAGGATTTTTCAACTACTTATAACATTGTAATAAGTAGTCTAAAAACAGCTATTTCGTTAAAAAAACACAAATAAAGAAAATCCATTAATGAAATGACTTCAGAAAGACAGTATAGAATCGAAACAGCTCACTGTTTTTTAATAACGGTTTAAACAAAAGCCTACGAACGGTATTTGTTTTTGCACCCAAATGCCCTGGTACGGTCGCCAGTGAGTAGAGTCCGCTCTCCCACTCGAAGAACTCTAACATGATCACGTACATACAACCACTGACAGTGGAATCTTACTCATTACCATCTCGCAGCATTACTGTTGTTTAGAAAATTGAGAATGAAGAAAGCGAACTCAAGCATGGGAAACGTCAGCTCTCACTCTACAAATGCTCTCACATGGCGTTTCGTATACAACCACTGCCAGAAAAATCCCACTGACTGTTTTCCCGTAACATTACTGTTGTTTATAAAATTGATAGAATGAAAAGCGAATGTCCAGTACTTTAACAAGGTTGGTGGATACGATGGATACACTCAGGGGAACAAATATCGTATTAACCAATTATTAATCACCGGCTACCATTGCAACTGCATCTCGTAACCTTACTCCACTGCTTGATGGATTAGTCCTTTAGGTCAAAGGTTCTGGGAAGTAACACACTAAAAAAACCATCTGCTTCAGTTTGCGTACCCAGGTAGTATCTCAGCTTACACACAAATCGATCGATTTATGTGGTACATATGTTGAGTTATTTACTTACTCAATCACACACTCACTCACTCACTCACTCACTCACCCATTCACTCACACACATACTCAATCAATTCATTGTGTGATATTCTATTTATTCATTACTTGATAAGATCATTTCATTCAATAACACTCAACGAATATCATCATACATAACGTGTATTCATTCATTAAAATGTTCTCTTATTCAATATTCAATATTTCATTATGAGATAAACAATAGAAAAATGAATTTTTAACCTTGATCATTAATTTTGATAAAAATAAATAAATAAATTGAGAAAATTTCTGACACGTTTCTTTTTTCTTTTTTCTTTTTCTTATTTTTGTTTCTGTTTTTTCTCTTTAATTGAATTATTGATAAATTTTGCAATATCAGAAGGGGTTTTGTGGAGTTTATAGTAATTTCAATGGTGGAGATCATGAGTCAATTGAAGCTAGACCACCATGGAAAACGCTGGAAGCACTGGACAGTCATTTCTCTCTATTGAGAGACTCCTCAGCATTACGCATTTACGATCCCGACTCTCGGGATTCGAACCCAGAACATATCAGTCTCGCGCCAGGCGATTAACCAACATAGCCGGCATCGAAAGGTGTTAATGTCTAACTTCAACTAATCCATTGAATTATTGATACATTTTGAGTTGATTTTGTTTTATCTCGATGAGAAAATAAGGGGGGAAATGATAACTATCAGGATCTATTAATGTATAATATAATACAGATATTTCTTAATGTATAATTGTTCATTCACTAAATGATGTATATTCATATTTGTTTTATTATAAGCTTTCATTTGATCCATGAATTATTATGATACGATTTACCATTCTTGAGTTATACCTAGTTGATCCCTTACAGTCTTCTACATTCACAGCTACATCTGGCTTGATCTTATACTAATTTCATTTCCTATTTTTTTGGTGTGGTATGGTCTGTTTGGCTGCAAATGTATATAAACCCAGTCTTGTTTGAAATGGATAATTCTTATAGTGGAATCTTTAATTGACATTCTGGATTTAAGATGTAGATAGAGCTCGTCAAAAAAAGGGATTCATAAAGACTCTAGACTGCTCGAAACTGTTCATACAGGTTTATGTATCGTAGATTCGATCGATAAATCACTGTTCTCTAATTGATCGTATCATTACGTTAATATTATTAATATTAATAAGCTATAAAAGCCATTAGTGACTCGTTTTCAAATCTATTTCAGTATTCATTCACTTTAAGGTCATCTTGTTGTTGACCTTGGGATTAATCACACATTCAAATGAATGATATACCATTGAATATTGAATCTATTCATGATAGTAAAAGTGGTTTGTTTATTCAAATCATGGATACAAATGGTATATATACATGTAGATGTATATAACACTTCATTGATACATTGAGATCTAATTTGATGAAGTAGTTTAAGTGATTTTGGTTAACTGTATTTGTCATACAGGTTCTACAACAAACCATTTAAACACAGTTCATTATTTAATAGTTGAATTTATAAGTCAAGATAAACTAGAGAAAATATGGAAGTACTGGACAGTCGTTTTGTTCTAGTATAGGACTCTTTACCAATGGGTATCTACGACCTTGCACGACAGACTCAATCCCAAGACCTATCGGTCTCTCACGCGAACGCTTAACCTATAGATTACTATGCTGGGCGACATCCAACGGTGTGAATGTTTAAATTCAATATATATCCACGAATGGCTGCACAATCATCCATCCACCGTCTGAGGTAGATATCTATCTCTACCCAACATGGATTAGACTAAACTGGTCATTGTTTGTCAATCCAGGAAACGATTTTGAAGTCAGTCACTAGTGAGCGCCTAATGATTATTATCAGAATGGGTTTTGTGAAGATTGTAACAATTTCATGTAAGCTAGACCAACCATGGAAAACCTAGAACCATTCGATGGTCGTTTCGTCACAGTGTAAGACTCTTCAGCAACGAGAATCCACGACCTCACTCTCGGGATTCGAACTCAGGACCTATAGGTCTTGCATAAATAACACCACGAAAAAACGAACCCAGTGTTTTCAGCTCTTATGATAAACAAGACACGTGCAAATATTGGTTGAAATTTCCAATTTCAATCAATATCTGGAGTAGTCCAATTATCATTGAGTAGCTGCTTAACTACCAACATTGTTAAAAAATAAGTCAAGTACTCTTGCCGGCCAATATTATAGTTTCAGTCTTGAATTAAGTCGAATACATAACGATTACCGAGGAGTCTCGGACATTTATGAAACAGCCGTCTAGTGTTTTTCATTATTTGTTGGTGTTAGATAGATATCTCCACAAAGATACAAACATTGAACTTCACTGTTACCGTACGTGGTCGCTTCCTGATTGAATTTAGAGTTACAACTGTAAAAATCAGTTGTTCTAGTTCAAATTGCACATTGAAGCTTCTTTGTTCTTCTCTTAATCTTAGTTTGGATGATAATCCATGCCATTCAATCTCTCCTTGCATTCATTCCTTTCAAACCATATTACCTGTATTTAGCCTTCCTTTCGAGCTTTTATCATTGTGTATTAACTATTTCTCATCTTGTCTTACTGATCGCTCACTTTCCTGGCAGGAAATATGACATGTTACGTCGAAATGGATCTAAGCTTGTTTCTATATTGTTTACATTTCACTAATTGACTAGCTCATTTATTATTGTTTAGAAAGTTACAGAACTCAACTCAAATTAAGCAAATGTATACATTAATATAAGCTATATTTCTATGTAGAGCTGAAAGTTTCATATGAGATTGGAGGTTCGTTATTGATATTTTGAATGATTCGGCATGACTTTGGTAAGCATTGCTTAGTGTTGATACGCAAAATTGATTTACTGGTTAACCTATTTCGTTCATACTGGTGGTTGCTTTTCAGTGTTCTCCTGGGTTATTGTCATTAGAACATCGTAAGACATATCATCATTGCTGACATTAATGAGTTTGACTGTCATGTAAGTGGAATAGGTCAACTTTGGCTTGTTCATGCTGTGCATAATTGATTTACACAATCAATGTGTTATAACTTGTGGCCTATGTGCCCTGTTAATGTATAACGTGATGATACTATCAATTAGAGGACAGTGAATTATCGACTGGACCACTGACGCATAAAACCTGTACGAGCAGTCTAGAGTACTTATTGGCCCTGCTTCCCGCCTAACCCAGCTGGTTAAGTCCAGAACACAAATCTCAGCTTCTGCGATATGAATCATTTATTTCAAACATATTGGGTTTATATACTAACTAGAAAGATCACATCGTACCACAAAATATGAAACAACATTTGTACTAGAATTAGCCAAATGGGTTTGTGAATGAGGAAGATAGTAATTAATGGACAGGGCATAACTCAAGAATGGTGAATCATAAAATTATAGTTCATAGATCAAAATAAAGCTTATGATAAGAGGAACACGAATACCATTTATCTACAATACGATAAAAAAAATATACGTATAGTATTGGTCGATAAATGGATCCCAACAGTTACCATTCATTATTCTCATCAGGATACAACACAATGAGCAGAATAACTATAAATATGTGCATATATATATACTATGTACATATGAATGACACGAATATTTCGCCAGGATGCTGGGTACCTATGTGGTTGCGCCACAGAATTAACCTGTACTATACAGACTGTGGTGTTAACGCCTATATGGTGTCTCGTTCTCTCCTATCAGACGGAATTGAGCTATACTGACTGAGTTGTCACATGAACGTCTGAATAGTGTCCGGTTCTCCTAAAACACCAATGTAACATTACCCTATCCCACAAAGGTATATTATCTTATATACTATATACATTAGTTGGATCATGATGTTTTGTGCTTTCCGAACAGTAGACACTAATTACAATCGATTTAAGCTGAAAATGTTTTCATTGATTGTTCACTTAGTATGCTCTATTTTATTGCTTTATCCATTTGGTTTCTTTACTTCTTAAGCAATTACATTCATTGACTAGAAGATTACTAATCAATGATGCAATATCATTATTATTGTCATCCAATTATTTTAACTATAATTATTTTACTACTTAAATCATTTATAAGTAGTTCTCAAATCCCAATCATGATTTATAATATTGCTGATGAAACACCAACTGGTTCATTAATTGGTAATATAGCAGAAAGTTTATCATTCACTTCCATAAGAAACTATACACACTTATTCATTACATCAATGAAATTTCAATATATAAATGATTATATCAAAATTACATCCAATGGTGATATCATTACATTACGTCATATAGATCGTGATAATACAAATGATATATGTGGTCCATTAAATTGTTGTCCATTAATCATATGTCAAATTGAAGCGAATATCATTTTAACTAAACAATGGAATACTCATTGGAAACATAACTTGAATCAAGTGAATCATTCATTCATGAAAAATCATCGTATTCCTGATGATGATGATGACGAAGAACAGTTGAGACGGAACTCGATAAAATTGAATGAATCTAATGAACAACAAACGATGGTACATTTATATATACGAATTAATGATGCAAATGATAATCCACCACGTTTTTTTATGTCAACGAATATGATGAAATATGATTCATTAAATGGTTCTCAACAATTATTGAATAGACCATTTATTATTTATATACGTGAAGGAGATACAAGTGGATTTGAAGGTTTACCTATTGCTTCAGATGCAGATTCTGAACTAAATGGTATAGTGACGTATCAACTCACTGAACATACAAATAATGGAGATCTTGTGAAAGAACCTCGATTAAATATTACTATGACATATGATCATATCCATTCAATCAATCCAAAATTAATACTTCTTCGATCATTAGATTATGAACATATAGATGATCGTGAAATCTATGCTACATTCTATGCAATTGATGGAGGTGATCCACCTTTAACTGGTTCATTATCAATTATAGTTCGTTTATTAGATATGAATGATAATCCCCCTATGATTGAACAATCTACAAAGGCAGAACAATACATTATATTACCAGAGAATACAACATTAGATAATAAACCATTCTATATAGTGAATGCAACAGATGCTGATTCTGGTGAGAATAGTCGTTTAATCTATTCATTTAGTCCATTAGCAAATAGTCTGATTCCAATGAAATTTCATATTGACTCAATCAATGGTGCGATTACAATACGTGAACCACTAGATTATGAAGTATATTCTGAACGTCAATTCTTGTTGCCAATTATTGTCAAGGATTCTGGTAGTCCGCCATTATCCAGTACTACATCAATTTCTATTCAAATTAAAGATATTAGTGATAATATACCAACATTAATGATACAAGAGAATATTACGATACCAGAAGGACATATATTTACAAAACCAATTATACGATTTTATATTAAAGATGAAGATGAAGTATCTCATGGGAAAGTAAGTTAAATGATCATAGTGACTGACTTACTTATTTCCCATGAAGCAAAGGTCGCCGACTAGCATTCATCCAATCTAATTTGTCTCGAGGATTCCCCTTTCGGTGAGACTATAATTAATCGACGACCTTTGAACGAATCTTGAGTGACCTTGAGAAATATTAGCCAATGAGAAGACAGTTCGTATAAAGTGGAAATATATAAAACTTATCAAGGTTTGAAAGAGGTCCAAATGTTCTGAAATCGTAGTGCATAGAGCAGAGGAACTCATCGAAATGGCTGTATAATATTAGACCTCTCAAGCCATGATAGGGTTGTAAAAACTCCTTTAGCGTGGACCACATAACTTTAATGTTGTTAATGTGCACTCCTGTTGTCCGGTCGACAAAATGGCGCTTGTGGACAATGACTTGATGCACATATCCAAGTCTATCCAGGCATCTGTAGGCTCTTCAATCATCTGTATATATTGTGGTACTCGGCTACACATATTTCCGTATAATTGATATTATTGTCGTTGCTTGTCAGTTTCTGACCTTTTGGAAGTGTCCCTTTTCGGTTGATCTGTCGTAAATTCCAAGTACCTGTGAAGTATATTTATGGAAGTGCTGCTTACCAAGTCTTCCTTTATACTACATCCTCTGTCAGTTTTTCGCTTCTTATTAGTCTCATCTGTTGTAGCCACTCGATTATCACATCTTCTCTAAAATCCACTGTAAACCGATCGTGTGTGAGTATCAGTTACTGTAATTGGCGTCATGAAATTGAAATCCCTCAAATGCTTCTGATTGACTCCTCCATAAATTATAGTCTCGCCTTCCTTTCTAGTTCTATCTAATTGTTGTTTATTCATCTCATGTTTGCTTCTGTTTCTCGACGTAATATGTTATTTGGTGATTCTATTCTTCTTTAACCTTGAGGATTCCAAGTGAGGGCTTGCTTTGTGACGTAGTTGTCTGCTTTCCTCAATATGTGGCTATCAGATCGTCCGTAAGGATCTGATTTGTTCTCTCCCATGGTAGGTTGTTACTGATAGTGTCTGGTCAATGGATATGAAGTATTTTGTGTAGGTAACTGTAGTTCTCCAAGTTTTTGCTCCATACAGTAGAATTGTTTTGATATTAACAATAATGGCAAGAATATAATTTATGGATGAATCAATCAAGTATAAGGAAACAGATCTTGGAGTTCCGCACGAAATTCACTTACCAATTTGGTTAAATAGATTCATGACATTTTAGTTTATATTAGTTCATGATGAAAACTCTCCACATCTAACTACCAACCTTAAATTCACAGTAATTTATAACTCTCATTCGATCCTAGTAATTAGGTAGACATACTCTCAAGGTCAGTCTGGCGTCGTTCAAAGGTCGTCCATAACTGATAGTCTCACTAAAATAGTTTATTATATTGGAATGTAAATTAACAAGATTATAATCTAGAATGATACATTTTTGTACATCTATATTCCTTCTTTGGACAAGCTGATCTAATGGGATTTCCAGTACTTTTAGATGATATAAAATAGAATGATGAATAAACTTAACTATTGCATGAAATCGAACAAAGTCGAGTTCCCTAACTCAAGGTCATGTTGTGTTTACTCTGAATTGAAAAGTAAATTCAGCGATTGGTCACCACGTATATTTGTAAATCGAGGATTAGAATACTCATATTGAGTTACTACACATCAAGAATATTTGATAATGTGAAAATGTATAAGTAAAGATAGATGGTGGCTAGCAATAGAATCCAAGATACATGTTTCTACCTATTTGGGATTCGTCAACCACTATCCATCTTTGACTAAAGTACTTGTGAATTAAGGCAATGTCGAAGATGCACATATGTCACTAAGACACTGATCAATTGCAGTTCTAAACATCATTAGGAAGATTCAAGTAAACAAAAATACCAAGTGAATTTTAAATTCACCCCATTACACAAACACAAGTGACTATCAAGACTCGCTAGGTAAGTGAAAAATGCGATGGCGTTTGAAGCGAACAGTACTGGGTTCGAGTCCTGGAATGAACATAAACTCTGGAATGCAGGTATACCAAACTGAAGAGTCCCAAAAATGATGAATCACCTGTCCTGGATTCCTCTCCTAGCCACCATACATCTTCGCTTATGATCCTTGTGACTTGAGACAATCTGTACACGATGTCCATTTGCTGATAAGAAAGACTGATCAATTGCAGTCCTAAACAACAATCGGAAGATTCACGTATTTAATACCAAGCGAATGTAAAGATAGTTGTAAAACTATTTTTGCTCATATAGAAAATGTAGACAGAAAATGATATTTTGGTTGTATGAATGTATCCTTCAATTGAATAACAACACCAAATGAATTTAACCTTCACCCCACTGAACAAGAAAGTGACTATTAGAACTCAGTAGCTAAGTGGATAACGCAATAGTGTTTGAAGCGAATGGTACTGAGTTCGAATCCAAGAGTGAACATCAACTCTAAGATGCAGATGAATCCAGCTGACAAGTCCCAAATAGGACAAAACGAGCATCAAACTAGATTCTACTACCAGCTAATATCCATCTTTGGATAGAATCAATATATTGATTGATAATATAACAGCCAATAGGAATTCAGCCCATATGAAATGTTATTTCCTCAATAATACGTTTATCATTCACTTGTTGAAATCATGAGTCAGTTGAAGCTAGATTATTATGAAACACCTGAAAGCACTATATGGCCGTTTCGTCCTAGTATGGGACTCCTCAGCAGTGCACATCCACGATCCCGCCCTCCGCGAGATTCGAACGTATATCTATTAAAAATGACATGAGGATTTCAATACTTTTATCTTCATTAATTAATAAACAAGACCGAGAGAGAGAGAGAGAGAAAGAAAGAAAGAAAAAAAAGGTAAACAAAAATTGACTTAGAAAATATTTTTTTTCACAGTTGAAGTTTGAACAAAATTGATCAAAATAAATAGAGATAAAATAGGGGTGGTGTTGAAGATGATGGTGGTGGTGGTAAAAAGGGGGAAATAGAAAACTGAAGGTTGTGTGAAATATTTTTTCTCTTATCACTTTTGTTACCAACACAATCTTATTGTCCTCCCTCTCCTCCTCCTCCCTCTTCTTCTTCTCCTTCTCATTATGAGTATCAATACTGTTTCTTTTCTTATCTCATTTGTTTACAAAATTTTATTTATTTATTTATTTGTTTACTTTACATCGTTACACTTTGTATATAAACAAAATTCCGTTTGAAAAAAGAAAAAAAGTTTAAAAGGATAATCAAAAGCAAAAAAAATCGTACAACATGAATGAAATTGTATGTGATGAGGCTGATGGTGATGATGATGATGGTGGTGGTAAAAGGTGATGATTGTGAGAAGTAGGATGATTCATTGAAGTTAAGGAAATTCAATGAAGGAATGAATCAATGAGTTGACATCAAAACAATCGACATCTTTTGTACGTTTTAAAGTTTAGGATAGAATGATTTTTATTTCTTTTTGTATCGAATGCATTCACTAAGGGTGGGATGGGGTGTGATAGAGTAACAGAATGAGACAGCATTAGAGATGTGGATGGGGGGGGGAAGGAAAGATAGAAGAAGAATTTCACATTCAATTATTCTTTAAATTCGAAACATATATTTACTATTAATTATTTATCTAATAATAAACATTGAACAATTTCGCCACCTAGAAAAAATAACTTTGATCAGGATAGAGCTGACATAATGCTGAGGAGTCCTACAATAGGACGAAACAGCCGTCCAGTGCTATAAGGTTTTCCATTGTGTTCTGGCTTCAATTGACTCATGATCTCCACCACATCCCAAAAACTTTCTCATATTTCCGTAAATTAGTTGCTTAGACCTTCTGGTGAGACTATAATTTGTAGACGACCTTGGAGTGATGCTAAACTGGCCTCGAGAATGTCCACTTACTGACTAGATTTAAATGAGAGTTTTAATCCAATATGACTATTGTAATTTACAGTTGATAGTTAAGGATATGAAACGGATTTGGAGTTTTCATCACAAACTGACATCAGCTAAAATGTCAAGACACTATTTAACCAAATGGATAAAGATTCACTTGGTATTGTTTGTCTGAATCTACCCATTGATGTTTAGCACTGCAATTCATCAGTCTCTTAGTGATATATGTGCATACTGTGCACATACATGTGGCTATCAGGATTCAATAGCTAGGTGCCTAACACGATTGAGCTTGACGCGGACGGCACTGGGTTCGAGTCTCAGAGTGAACATCAACTCCAGGATCCAGTTACATCCAGCTGATGAGTCCCAAGTAGGATGAAACGTGCACCTGTTATCGCAAATCTGAATAGTTTGTCCATAAACTATAGTCTCGACAATCTTTTTGTTGTTGTTTAGTATAATCTTCTATCTAAATTCTAGATACACCGTGTCTGACCGGTGCATTCAATCTACTACTACTACTACTACTACTACTACTACTACTACTACTACTACTACTACTACTACTACTACTACTACTACTACTACTACTACTACTACTACTACTACTACTACTACTACTACTACTACTACTACTACTACTACTACTACTACTACTACTACTACTACTACTACTACTACTACTACTACTACTACTACTACTACTACTACTACTACTACTACTACTACTACTACTACTACTACTACTACTACTACTACTACTACTACTACTACTACTACTACTACTACTACTACTACTACTACTACTACTACTACTACTACTACTACCTACAATAATCTAATATCAAACTAAAATGCTCTATGTTATCTATCGTCTTACTTAAATAACAATTTATATTTGAACAAGATAGAAAGAATCTATGATTGTATACATGTTGACAACTCCACTTATAGCTCGTCTAAAGCTATTACCGATCCCAAGCACACACAAAAAAGTGAAGGATGGCTTAGATATATGGTCATTAAACCCCAACCCATAGAAATTAACTTTGCCAAAAATAAGAAGAAACGTTAACCATAATAAACCATACATGTGAACAAAACGAATCAAAATAACAGCTGTTATGATAATTTATTGATTATCATTATTTTTTTGGGGGGGGATTTTAAAACTAGAAAACAGACATTCATTTGAATGAAAGTTTTCAATAGAATAGAAACAATACAGAGGGGTGGAAATTGTAGAATTTTCCAAAGTTGTGATCACCATGTGGAAAGAGTAAGAAAATGTTACTATTAGATTGAGGTTGTTTTTGTGAAGATTATAGTAATATCGGATCATTGATCTAGAGGTTAAGCGTTTTCACTCGGAGATCGCAGGTCGCGAAATCGATTCCTGTGTGCACGAAAACTGGAGATACTGGATATGAATTCTGCATGCAGGATCGGGAATATGCAGTGAGGAGCAGTACACATACTAGAACGAGACGGTCGTCCAATGATTACAAGTTTTTCATGGTTGGTCTAACTTTAATCGATTCATTAATTCAACTGTCAAATTAACTACAATATCCACAAAACACCGTTTCCGATAAAAACTATCGTGTGCTCATTAGTGGCTGGATTCAAGATTAATATCCTGGAGTTCTAGTGAGGAACCATGACTAGTGGAATTAAATCGTATCTGTTGTGAAACAGTAATTCACTAGAGACAACGGTGGATGGTGGCACAATTTCGTTGGTTAGTTTAAGAAAGACATGAATAGTGTTCGATGCCGAAAATACTGAGTTCGTGTCCTGTGTTCGGGGTCTTAGATTCATAATGTTGTAGATTAGATGATGAGTGGAGGTAGTCAACAGGGAACACTGGACCCGAGTTTCGTACTACTTGGCACTCGTCAGCAAGGTGTACCTATAATCTTGAGGGAAATTGTGTGTACCATAATCGATCTCGAATATGTTTTTGCAATGCTCTTTTTCAGTTTAACATGTATTGGTTTGCTGACCAGTCTCATGTAAGACAAAATACGTATCCTGGATTCTAATGCTGGTCACTATCCATCTTTGCTTAGAATTCTTCTGAATTTAGACAATACCGAGGCAATACACACAGTTTGTACATATGCCGATAAGAGACTTATCAATTGCAGTCCTCAATAACAATGGGAAGATTCAAGTGAAAAACACCAAGCGTATTTCAACCTCATTCTATTGCACAAGCACAAGTGGTTATCAATACTCAGTAGCTAAGTGGATAACATGGTGGCCTTTAAACCAAGCGGTGCTAAGTCCGAGTCCCGGAGTAACACATCAACTCTGGAATGCACGTATATTCGGTTGACTAGTTCCAAATAAGACGAAATGCCTAAAAAACTATTATCAAGACAAACTTTCAACCTCGATTGATTGATAACTGGGTGGTGACAAATGTCATGTGTGTCAAGTCCTTATTAGTGTAAATCGAATCCTATCGACCAAGTAGCAATGTGGCCACCAGTCTAGGTGACTTGACATTGCGTTCACTATGTTGAGATTAGATGGTGGTTGTAGGTAGTCAACAGGAAACCCTGGACCCGGGTTTCGTACTACTTGGCACTCGTCAGCAAGGCGTACCTATAATCTTGATGGAACCGGTGCTCCCTGACGGCCACATTGTATCATGGTCGATAGGATTCGATCTGCACAAAAAAGAACTTGACGCACATGACATTGATCATCACCCAGTGATCAATGAATTGTGATTACATCTCAGTCCTACAGGAGGTCAATCACGGTCCGAATAGCTCAGTGGTGACGCCTCTGACTGTGAAGCTGGGTGACACGAGATCGAATCCATCAAGGTACACAAGTTCCCCCAAGACTATGGGTACACTTTGCTGACAAGTGCCAAGTGGCACGAAGCCTGGGTCCATTGTTTCCTGTCGACTACCTCCAACAACCATCTAAGGCTTTCAACTTATTAGTCTAATACTAACATAATAGATAAATTGATTCAAATACAGAGTGATCGATATTATGTACACTTTTCTACCTGGAGAATGTGTATCACGCAATAAACTAATCATTTATTTGATAAGCATGATTAATGATTTTAATAATAGAAGATCAAAAAGAAGAAGAAGAAGAAGAAGAAGAAGAGGTCATAACAATAACACTGATGACTGGAAACTGTTTACCTAATGAGAACTAAACATTTGTAATAAGATGAATGAAAGTATTACGAAACTAATTAACACTATCCTGTGTCTATAATGAAATAGATGCAAAAGAAAAGAAGTTTACTTATTTGTCATTGTTGTTGTTGTTGATGTTGTTTTCTAATAGTTTCGAATTGGGACAAAGATAGAATAAAAATGTGCACTTATGATCTTGCCGGAAGTCGGACCTAAGATATTTAGTTCTCATTATTGAGTGCTTCGTTTGTTTGTTGATTTCTAGTGATTTATGCTTTTAGCTTTTGTTAATTAACAACTACAATGTATTGGATTCACTAGGTATTGTTTACTTGAATCCTCTAATTGATGTTTATGACTACAATTGATCACACTCATATTGGCATACTATGCATATGACCTTGATATTGCCTTAATTCACAAGCATTATAAGCTCGGATGAATAATGGCTAGTAGTGGAATCTATGATTCACGTTCTAGGATGTGGATTCCATTGCTAGCCACTATCCATATTTGCTTATTATGTACGCTGTTATTATCTCAACGAGAATAGGGGATGGTAACTATTGGAATCTGTTTATGGACCAATACGATACATATATTTATATTGTGAAAATTGTTAAGTAACTAAACTATGTATATTCATATGTCTCTTATTATAAGCTTCAATTTGACTCATAGACTATTATTATACGATTTACTGTTCTTCAGTTATTCCCAGTCTATTCATTACAATCTCCCACATTCACAGCCACATTTGGTTAGATCTACAAATGTTGTTTTCGATTTTATGGTACAATGTGATCTGTTTTTTTTGCATATAAACCAAGTATGTTTATATCGCAGAGGCTGAGATTGACGTCCTGGACTCAGTAGGCATGCAGGGCTATTCAGGAGGAAGGATCGTTGCAGAATCTAGACTACTCGTACGGGTTTATGTGTCATTGGTCCGATCGATAAACCACTGTTCTCTAATTGACGGTATCGTTACATCATACATTGATAGGAGTACAAACCTACAAATCATAACAACTGATATCCTATCTGCATCAATGGTACCAACTGCAGTTATATTCAAACCAAGAGAGTATCATTAAAGAATCTTGACTGCTTGTACGGGTTTACGAGTCGTGGGTTCAGTCGATAAATCACTGTTCTCTAATTGCCGTTATCATTACGTTTACATATTAATAAGCTACCATCAGTTGGCCTCAACATACACAAGGGGAAAACCAAGGTCCTCAAATACAACACGGAGAACATCACTCCAATCACACTTGATGACGAAACTCTGGGAGATGTAGAATCCTTCAAGTACCTGGGAAGCATCATGGATAAACAAAGAGTATCAGATGCAGACGTAAAGGCGAGGATTGGCAAAGTAAGGGCCACATTCTTACAATTGAAGAAAATATGGAACTCTAAACTACTTTCAATATGAAAGTACCAATCTTTAATACAAACGTCAAAGCAGTTCTACTGTACGGAGCTGAAACTTGGGAAACTACTACAGTCATCATCAAGAAGGTACAAGTATTTATAAATAATTGTTTATGCAAGACACTCAACATCCCCTGGCCGGATACCATCAGCAACAGTCTTCTGTGGGAGAGAATAAACCAGCCTCCAGCTGAGGAGGAAATTGGGAAAAGACGATGGAAATGGATAGGACATACATTACGCAAATCACCAAACTGTATCACTAGTCAAGTCCTCACTTAGAATCCTGAAGGGAAGTGGAAAAGAGGAAGGACAAAGAACACATTACGTCGGGAAATAGAAACAGAAATGAAAAGGATTACTATTTTTATTAATTAATTATTATTACTGATGGCTTTATTCAGTATTATATGAATAACAACTGGAAAGAGGTAGAAAGGAATGAACAGGACAGGGTTGGATAGAGAGTGCGAATGAGCGGCCTATGCTCCTTCACGAGAAGTAACAGGCGTAAGTAAGTAAATAAGTATTAATAGGCTACAATAGCTACATGTTATAACATATACGCTGAACCATTGACAAGTATCATTCTCAAACTTAACATATATTAGATTGAGATGGTGAAGAATATTTGTAGCTCAGGTGGACCATTCTGATGGAGTTTTGTCCTCTGAGGTGGATGATTTGGTTGTAGTTCTTTCATCATTCTTCTCAACGATATCATCAGTATCATCATCAGCATGTGCATAATAACGCACAAACGTAGAAACAAAAATCAAACCAATAGGAGATTTAACCAAAACAAAGAAGTAAACAATCACAGGTCTAAGATCAACAAGAACCAAACAACATTGAGGTGTACAGGACAAGTTGTGAATCACATATAAAAAATCTGAACACTTCACTTATATTTGAAGTTCGTGCTGCAGATGATGTCATTCAGTAGAACGATGAAATCTTCATGATCAAGCCCTCCAACTTACAGAACAAAACTCTATCAAAATATATAAGATTATCAGTTTAAGGGTTGTGGAGCTTGCTAAGTTTTTGATTGAGATCATAAACCGATTGATGTTAGATCACCACTGAAAACCTGGAAGCACTGGATGGCCGTTTCGTCCCATTGTAGGACTCCTCAGCAGTGGTCCAGTAGGTTAAGCATTCGCGCGCGAGGCTGAATGCCCTGGGTTCGAATCCCTCGAGCAAGATCGTGGATGTATGAATTCAATAAACTTTCATTAAAATCATCGGTGTTTTTCTTTTTAGATCCTTTGTAAACCAACTCCATTAGAATCAAATCACCTACAAGATAAAGAACTTCTAGCTGGTCAAGATTATTTACGTTTACATCCAGTCTCTGATACTGTATTTTTTATATTTACAAAAGGTATATTTGATTATGAACAGATTCAATATGCTTCATTATTAATGGATTGTTATGATTTAGCTGATATAGATCTATTCAATAATGTAAATTTCAGTTTACAACACTTTCAACAGAAGGATCTATTGAATCATCTATATCAATTTCGTATCACAGCAGCTATCTCTGATCAAAATGATAATATACCTATATTTAAACAATCCAAATATTATATTAAAATACCAGAACATCTATCAGATGGATCATATATTACTGAAATGAAAGCCTATGATTTAGATAAAGGTGAATATGGACAATTAACTTATCAATTAAAATCAATTACATTCAATTATATTGATGATTCTGATCCTGATCATGATGAAGAAGATGCAGATCATTCGAAGTATTCAAGACATCCACAAGAATATGAACAACCATTTGAAATTCATCCACTAAATGGTATCATTACAGTATTACATAATCAGTTATTAGATCGTGAACAAATTGAATATTTTTATTTAAATATATTAGCTAAAGATAAAGGAAATTTCACTACTCATACACAATTAATTATACAATTAATCGATATTAATGATCATTTACCAATATTATATAATAATAATCATATCAATATTGATTTTCAAGAAAATCAAAAAATCAATACTTTTATTGATTTTATACATTTAATTGATTTAGATAAAGATTCCAGAAATTCAATGATACATTTATTATTAGACAATAATAATCAATCAATCAATAATCGATTAATCAATAATTCATCAATCAGTAATCCATCGATGAATAACCAATCAATCGATAATCAATATAGTCATTATATTAAAATTATACCCGATATCAATTTTCATTATAAACAGATCAATCAAAATGAATTAATGAATGAATATGAATTAAAAGCAATATTGATTAATCAATTAATTATTGATCGTGAAAAAATCAATAAATTTTTTTATCAAATTATTACATATAATAGTGATAATAATAATAATAAATCAATAAATAGTATCACATATACATTAACTATCAATATATTAGATGAAAATGATAATATACCAATATGTATATATCCTATTTATAATAGTATTATTGGTGATTATGATCAAGATCATGATCTAGATCCAGATCAAGATCATTCCATAATGATTTATACAACCACACCAATTTATACATTCGTTATACAATTGAAAGGTTATGATCCAGATCATGGCTTAAATGGTACTATATTATATCAATTAAATCCATTGACTAATGGTAGTCAATATTTTTATTTAAATGAATCGAATGGTAAATTATATACAAATTGGTTCATGGATTCATTCTATGACTCCACAATGATTAATATGGATACAAATCCATCATATGATCCACCTATTGAAGGGATCTATCATATCAAGATATCACTTAAAGATATGGGCATACCATCTTTATCATCAAATGAAACACAATTTTTTATTAAAATTCATTCATTTAATCCATCGATAACCAATAATCAATCAATCATCCATTCGAATCAGAAAACAATGACATTTTGGTTATCTAATCATCCTCATCAGAATCAATTTTTATGGATTTTACTGATTATTTCAATGATATTATTGATTATTATTGTAAGTAGTATCATGATATGGATACAATCTTATTGTAAACAAAAATTTAATCATCCAATTATCATATCAACAACAACAACAACAACCAAAAATCATGATCAATCATTAAAGAAACCATATCTAATTACTTGTTTATCAACCAATAAAAAATATCAATATTCATCGAAAATCAATAATCATAATAATCAATCAATTTGGCCAGGTACAAATATCATTCATCAATCAATAAATGATCATCTAAATGTCAATACTACTACTAATACTACTACTATTCATACTACTAATAATGATCCATATCATTACACAAATCATTTACATACAAATCCAATCTGTTCATTACCTTTCTCATATGACACTGGTAACCATAGCAACAATAATAACACTAATGTTTATTATTATCATAATAATAATCAATTGATAGGACAAAAGTATACTTCATTAAATGCATCAAATCTATCAATTAATCATTTGAATAGTTCTATGAATGGAACATTGACAAATGATCATCTTAATCATGATGTATATATACAATCATCATTACATAGAACAATTGGAAATTCTATTGTTTATTCAACATATACGAATTCCTATTTATCACCTATATATGATCATAGTTATTATGATGATCAATGTAAGTGAAAGATGATAGTTGGGTGTTGGTGGGAGGTGGTCAACAGGAAATTTTGGACCCAGGCACGCAATGTCGAGTCACTTAGATTGGTGGCCACATTGCATCATGGTCGATAACATTCGATCTGCACTAAGAAGGACTTGACACACATGACATCGGACACCACCCAGTGATCAATCAATTCTGAAAGATGATAGTTTATACGAATAAGGAGTCAAGGAAATGAGTGAAATAAATGATTGAAGTGATAAAGATTTGAGAAAGATTACAGTATTATAATAGTTGAATTGATGGTTCAACTAAATATAGACAGTGGGATTGAGTGTTGTTAGAGGTATGAGTGAAGTTATTAATTCCTGGATACAGAAGGTTCGACTTGTTTTTGCCAACTTGCATCATTTATGGTGTAGGTGAGATATCCGACTATCAACAAAAGGACGTGTTTACTGAGCAGCAGTTCGTTTCGTTCTATATTATGGCAGTGAAACATGGCCAGTAAGAGTAGAGGATATTCGTAGGCTACTAGTATTCGATCATAGATGTCGTCGAAACATTGCTCGTATATGTTAAGACCATTGAATAAGTAATACAATTGTTAGGAAACGAGTTCTAGGTAAGGATGGCAAATCAATTGATGAAGCAGTGAAACTTCATCAGTCGAGATGGCTGGGACATGTGTTACGTATGCCCAACCACCGACAGCCCCGACGTGCGATGTTTTATGGTGTAGGAGTAGGTTGGAAAAAGCTATGGACGGATAAACTAAAACATGGCACAAATCCATGAAGTCACTTACAAGTGGACTAAGCCATGTTGGCAGGTGTAGACCACCTGGTTGGAATCCGCAAAATGACAGCAACCGATGGTTGGAGACCTTGAATGCCATGGCTCCAAATCGTCTTCAATGGCGCAGGTGCATCCACTCTTTGTGTTCTCCCAAATTCTAATCTCCTAAATCCTCCTTGTCTCATTTTCTCTTTCCAAATTTATTTCACTGCATTATACTCTTTAAATGTCGCCAAATCCAATGGTACGGCTGAGGGTGGGGATAGTCAGATCTCCCTTTCCAAATGCTCACACATGGCTACGCGTATACAGTCATTGCCACGTAAGTCCTACTCACTGTCTTCTCACGGCATTATTGTTGTCTACAAAATTGAGAGGACAAAAAGTGAATGTCCGACGCTTTGACAGGGTTCATGGAAACGAAGAACCCTACACGAGTAGTTGGAAAACCCTGATTCTTCACCAATAGTGTACATAGACTCTGTGATTCTGAGAAAACAAAAAGTGTATTAACCAATTATTGTTTGCTGGCTAACATGTAACTGTATTTCCTGACGTCGGTCCACTACCTTGTAGATTAAACCTTTAATAAACATATCATAACCATATTTAGATATTTATATATTATCGTTTTTCTTGCTATTTTAGATCAAAATCAACAAAGAAATATGAAATTCTAATGAACATATACCCTATTACATACCCTTTACCTCTTGATAGAGTTTCGTTCTCTTAGATGGATGGATGAACAAACCATCCAGCTCAGAGGACAAACCTCCATCAGAATTATCCACTTGAGCTACAAATCTTCTTTACCATCTCAACCCTTTACATCATTAAAATCTATATACTTATATCTTCAACAAAGATGAACTTTATATTGATCTTCACTTTCAACAGTTCCTCAACTGTGATATTTTATCCTTTTCTAATCGAATATGTATCTTCATTGATATATATAGATATATCTATGTATATGTGTATATAGATTAGTCTCATCATCTATTCAGGTATCTTTCTAAAAAAAAGTATAGAATCTTTCATTGTACAAAAATGCAAAAGATTCTTAACAAAGATATCATCATTGCTGATAATATACAATAACTCGTGAATGGATTACATCTAATTGGCAACTACTCAAATATTGTTATCATTAGGATCAATAATGATTTGATTCGATATTCATCTCTCCTGTACTAACTCATAACAAAATATCTGCCTATATTAACTACATATTGGATGTTTATGCTTATTGTGAATGTGTTTCTTTTTCTTCTTTTATTACTTAAATAAGTAATACGCTACTTGTAATAATATGCCATATACTAATAAACCTTTATACATAATGAAATCAATCATTTGGGGGGGGGTTGAGGGGTGGGGTTTTTGTTGGCGATTAATTGTTGAAATATTCATTCATTGTAATTCCTTGTTAATATGAATAAATGAATTGGAAACTTCACTTATGATTCTGACTTTCTGAATATCTATATATATGGAACATTTCCAAGAAAGCTCATATTTCATTGGATAATTGATAATGAATATATTTTATCAGATTAGGGGTTGTGGAGATTGTTAAGTTTTTGATTGAGATCATAAAACGATTGATGTTAGATCACCATTGAAAACCTGGAAGCACTTGACGGCCGTTTCGTCCTATTGTGAAACTCCTCAGCAGTGCGCATCCACGATCCAGCTCGCGTGATTCGAACCCAGGGCATTCAGTCACGCGCGCGAACGCTTAACTTACTGGACCACTAGCCGTTAGCAATTCATTGTAACATATAATCAAAGGTATTTATATAATCGACTTTCAGTAAAACTTAACAATCTCCACAACCCCTTAACTGATAATTACCATGTGCTCACTAGTGACTAGCGTCATGAGAAAATTTTCGGAGTTCTGGTGAGAAGCCATGACCAGTGGAGCTAATCTGTGTCGGGTAGAAACAGGTATCTACCTCGGTACAATGGAAGATTATCGCGCGACTTTGTGGATTGGTTGGGGTTAGACACTAACACCAATGGATGCCGGCTAGCTCAGTGGTTCAGTAGGTTAGGCGTTCGTGGGCGAGACTGAAGGCTTTGGGCTGGAATCCCGCGAGCGGGATCGTGGATGCACACTGCTGCGGAGTCCCACAATAGGACGAAACGGCCATCCAGTGCTTTCAATGGTAATCTAACATCAATCGGTTCATGATCTCAATCAAAAAGAATATATTTTATTCAAGTGAAATTAACCAATCAAAAGTCGATAAAATTTGCTATGTTGAAGCGATTACAAAATCACTTAGTCTGCGAACGAAACAAAAGACTCTGTGACTAAGGACTAATAAACTAACTATTCTATGAGTCACAGCTTCGCTAACTAGGATACGCATTTTCTACTATTTGGGATCGAGTCCCAGAGTCAACAGCAAACATGAGACGCAGGCACATCCAGCTGATGATTCCTAAACAGGACGAAATGCATGTCTTGGATTCCATTGCTAACCACTATTCATCCTTGCTTAGAATGCTTGTGAATTAGGGCAATATCGAGGCAATACGCACAATATGCACATATGCCAATAACAGAGATTGATCATTTGCAGTGCTAAACATCAATGAGTAGACTCAAGCAAACAATATCAAGTGAACTTAAACTTCAACACATTGAACAAGCAATTAACTAAGTAGATAACACGATGGAGTTTGAAGCGGACATTATTAGGTTCGAGTTCCATGGTGCATATCAAGTCTGAAATTCAGGTATATACAACTGAAGTGACCCGAATCGGATGAATCACGCGTCTTGGATTCCATTGCTAACCACTATCCGTTAGTAACTCGTTATAACTTATGATCATAGGTATTAATGTAATCAACTTTCAGGAAAATCAATTTACATATTAACTTTCGTTTTGACATTACTTACTTACATACTTACACCTGTTACCCTTCGTGGAAGAGCATAAATCGCCCATCAGCATTCCTCATTCAACTCTGTCCTAGACAATTCTTTCCAGTTGCTATTCACCCTTTTCACATCTGCTTCCGATGCTCAACAAAGTGTGTTCATTGACCTTCCTGTTTTCCGCCTCCCTTCAGGATTCCAAGTTAGTGCTTGTTTCGTGATACAGTTTGATGATTTCCACAGGTTATGACATTAAAAAAATAAAAATCACATCCATTTTAATAAGAACAAGTTATATGCTATTCAATTATCTTATGACATAATCATCATCTTACACAAGATAAATATTTCCTCTTTGTAATTAGTGTGATTGACTGTAAAATTACTGACTGAACTGATGGAAAATGGTACTATTAAAGCATGCCCTGGTACATCCGAGAGTGGTGAAAGTCACCTCTTCCACTCGACATGCTCTCATATGGCCACGTGCATACAACTACTGTCTGAGAAGTCCTACTCACTAACTTCTCGCGGCATTACTGTTGTTTACGAAATTGGGAGGACGAAAAGCGAATGTCCAGCACTTTAAGCGGGTTGATGGACACGTATGATCCACCTATGGGGTTGAAAAACCCTCATTGCAAACGAATGGTGCACATGGGCTCCAGGATCCTGAGAGAACAAATGGTTTTTGATTATTATTTATGGTTACTAGAGAGGTCAATAGTACGGATTAAAGTTTAAGTTAAGGATTTTGCTTAGGATTAGGATTTGATGTTAAGATTTGGATTGGGATTAAGAGTTAAAGTTAAAATTTAGGGTTAGGAGTTTGCATTAATGATAAATATATGGCTATCATCCTCTGGTTACTCTGTCTGTAAGTCTAATAGAAGTCCCTATATAGATTGTTCGAATTCTTGGAACATTGTAAGGACTCAAGCGAATTTTTAGGAATCTCTACATTCTCTTTGGTTACGGTAAGGTACTTTAAGTTAGGATTAATGATTTATTATTATAGTTTTGATTATCAAATGATATCAGATATAATGAGTTATTACCAAATAGATTAATGAACTTGAGCAGAAATTCCAGAGTCATTAACTTAGATCAGAATAATTAGTTTACATCAGCAGGGAGTTGTGGAGATTATTTAGTTTGTGATTGAGATCATGAATCGATTGGTGTAAGACCACCAATGGAACTCCCCAATAGTGCACATCCACAAATCCGCTCGCAGGACTCGAACCTAGGACTTTCGATCTCGAGCGCGAACACTTAAACTCTAGACCAGTGAGCTTACATCCAACTGTATTGATGTCTAACCTTAATTAATCCACAAAATTACGCGACTATTTTCCATTGTACTGAGGTAAATACCTGCCTCTACCTGACGTGGATTAGTTTCACTGATCATGGCTTCTCACTAAAACTCCAATAATTCCCTCACGAAGTTAGTCACTAGTGAGTACATTTGGTTTCTTTTAGTGAATGCATACTACTAGGGAATCCTATACTAGAACGAATCAGTCGTCCAAAGCTTCCAGGTTTTCATTGATGGTCTAACATCAATTGAATCATGAATTCACCTATTAAAATTACTACAATCTACACAAACTCCAATTCCACGTAAATCTATTCGTTAAAATGTAAATGTAGACATTGAAACAAAACAGTTTATGCTAATTAGTTTTCAATCAATCACATGACAGCAATGAATTATCTACATCTAATCCAACAAATAAGAATTGTATCAGTTGATACTTGACACTAACACCATTGCATGCGGGCTCAGTGGTCCAGTATGTTAAGCGCTCGTGGGCAAGCCTGAAGGCCCTGAGCTCGAATCCTGCGAGGCAGGATCGTTGATGCGCACTGCTGAGTAGTCCCACAACAGGATGAAACGGCCGTCCAGTGCTTCCAGGTTTCCAACGTTGATCTGACATCAATCGGCTCATGATCTTAATCAAAAACGATAATAATAATAAGAAGAATTTCTTCCTTATTACATAACGACATATTTTAAACCACTTACCATCGATTACTTTTAATCATATCCTTAAATTTCAATAAAGGTAAGGAATCTCACTTACCGTCACAATACTGTCAAACGAAGTAGAATGATGAAGATAGGACTCTAGGCTATGAATAGAATAATAGACACAGGATAAAGTAAACCGTAGTTAGGATTACAATTGGTGAATCTAACACATAAAATAGATCAGATGTCTGGAACCATGACAAGTCAATAGAATTTGCGCTATCTAAAATTTAAGGATATAAACGATTATAATAAGGCTCGTTGACTAAATAAATAAATGGCTGAACAGTGGCAATTTCTGCATATACCTAGTAATCGGATCTTAGGTGTATATCACGAACATAAGTTGTTACTACTAGAAGTATAACTCTTAATTCATATCTATGATAAGGATATGAACCTTGGCTTATGTTGTGACTATAATTTATGAACGAACCAATTAGATATTGTTACATACGTATATACTGCTACTTATATCAGTTGCTTCAGGACTGGTCTGCGTCAACACCTGAACTAAGGATAGGGAGTGAAGTAGTCGAACGCTTTGACAACTTCACTTATCTTGGAAGTCTGATCAGCCCTAATGGGTTGGTATCGGACGAAATCTCAGCACGGATTCGAAAAGCTCGTTTGGCTTTTGCTAACTTACGTCACCTGTGGCGAAGGCGAGGTATCCGTCTATCAATAAAAGAACGAGTATACTGCGCGGCAGTCCGTTCTGTTTTAATTTACGGCAGCGAAAC